AAAAATCTAAGTGATTACTTTCTATTCCAAAAGTGATAAATTGTTGCAGCATACGTAAAAGCAATCAATAAATATATTCGAAAAGATGATTGGTTCGTATGGATTTCAATGACCAGCGGAGAATTATCAATGCCCATATTTCAATCGCTGGAATCATTTTGGCCTGGTCTATTAGTTAGTTATTTCAATCTTTTATTAAAATTTTGACACCAGATTAAATTTATCACTATACATTGTTAGGCATTGACCGGAGATGTCGATGATGCACAGCGAATAATTTACCAATATAGTCAAGTGATACGACAGTATGGATTTCCACCTGAGTTTTTCAATCTTCCAAAACAGGAAGCGGTTCGTTTTTGTTTTTTTTTTTTTGTTTCTAATGACAGTGCTGCTTTGAATTTTATTACAGTAAATAAGGAAGGGAATTTTTCATATATGTTTTGCTTGGCTCAAAATAAGTTCTGTAACTTCTTAAGTTATTTAACGAATTAACAGTGCTTGATTTCGACATTAAAAAACAATTGATTGACTGATTCTCTCTTCATTTACTAATTTCAACCATACTTTTTGCTAAAGATTATGAAACATGTAGGTGTCGAAACGTGCTGGTTATCCTCTAAGACCAGAGTTTGTCGAAAGTTTATATTATATTTATCGAGCTACAAAAGATCCTTTGCTACTAGAGATTGCTGCTGAAGTGGTTGATGTAAGTTATTTTTGATTATTTATTCAATTGACTAGAGTAATCCTAAGTTTATGTCACTGTCTATTTTGCTAATTTGAACTTGAACTAGCCAAAAAATTGACAACATTTTTGTTATACATGATATATGAAATTAACGAAATCAAATTTTCCATATTTAATTTAATATTTTGATGAATTTGTCACTTGTTATCCAGTCTATTACGTCTGTCTTTGTCAATCAGTCGGTCAGTTATGTTCTGCTGAATTAATCCATTCACCTAATCACTAGATCAACATCAAGGAAAATTTCAGCGATAAAATTGTAATTTATTAATTTTAGGCTATTGAGTTCAGTTGCCGTACGAACTGTGGTTATGCCACAATTGTAAGTACCGAACATCATTCTGTTGAAGACAGGTTTATTCTTTATATTTTTTTTCTTAGAACTGTCTTTGATAATATGATATCATTAATAAGAAAGATCACGCAAATTTTCTTGATTGATTTCTTTGAATAACAGGATGGAATCATTTTTCCTTTCGGAGACTACAAAATATCTTTATTTGCTCTTCGATCCAGACAATTTCATCAATGCTGATGGAACCACTGCACGAATCATTGAAACACCAAATGGGCAGTGTATCATTGATGGTGATTTTTATTTTTGAAAGGCTATTCTTCGGTCACTTTTCGTTATTTAATGGAATTTTAGTTGTTTTTTATTGTTTGTTTGCTAATTTATTGAAATCCAACTTTAGCGGTTTTGCCTTTAATGCTTTCATGTATTCGCAGAGAAAAATATACATTTTTAGCTGGCGGCTACATATTCAATACGGAAGCACATCCGCTGGATCCAGCAATCGTTTATTGCTGCAGTGCGAAACGTAATAGAGATTTGGAAATGATAGCACGATTTGAAAATAACATTGATTTTATTTCACTGGCGGGAATTTTTGATGAAACATTATACCCATTTGGAAGAAGGTCATACACTGTAAGTGATGCTTATTGCAAAATTGTGAATTAATATTTTTGATAGTCTGAAATCCACATAAACTGCTTGATTTGCATATGTTTTAAATAATTCATGTTTTGCATAGACCATTAATTGTCCTAATTAAATATTTTTCATAGATGATTTACTGAGTAATAACTGATTTATTAACAAATGATAAGCAACTTGACAGTTAACAGTAAGTTTTTACTGTTATCGTATTTAAAGGGTTGACATTGCAGTTACTTTCTCGTCGAAATACAGTGAAGATTTGATGACTGCTTTCTGAATTCATCAATTTCATAAGTTTTGTTATTAGATCGTTTAATTACTGTTAACTGATTGCAATCAAGAATTAAATTTTTAGGAAAATGCATACGGTGTCCGGAATACCAATAAGGACGAAAATTTGCTTAAACAGTCATTAATAAATCCTCGGTTGTATGACTATATTGCTGTATATGATGATCGTTGCTTGGTGCGAGTTATTTTATTGCTCACTAAGTGTCTTATATTATATTTATTCCAATCATAGCATAAATTATTGGTGATTAATATAAGTAAAATGGCTTATGAATGTGTTGGAAATGTTTATTAAGCCTTGGACATTAAGCATTAATTGAGTAATGTTCTTAAGTAATGGGCGTGAAATAGAGTTGCTCTCAATTTGAGCATAGATAAAGTGCTATATAAGATTTCAGAATTGCTGTTGGCCCACTGATTCTAACACTAAAAATGTTCCATTCCGGCGTTTTTTTAATGCAGTGTTTGCTAAGCATATTTATCCTGCAATGGGTATTCAGTTCATTGTTGGATTAGTCTGTTTACCGACTGGTAATAGTATTCCTGATGGTTTACATGAAGTTAATTGGCCTCGTAAGTTTATGTTCAATTCCGTTTATTATTTCGATGAAAAATCTTAAGTGTTAATGTGAATATAAATCATTTTTTGTCCAAGATTAGATTTTCGAAATTCTAATCATAAAATTCCTAATGTTTCTCCGATTTTAGATGTGCATAAAGTAGATATCACTCAGAAGTTTGATTCCATTGATGAAATACGCTTCAACAAGTTTCGTTATCGAAGTATGCCTGAATTAGGCTACGATATACTCCTAACATCACCACTTTCTTATCTTTCAAGGTTTACAGGATTAGGACAGGTGAAACCTAAACCCGATGATATATGATAGTAATAATTGTATTAAACTATTGGCAGCATTTTGTGGAAGTTATCTTAGCTATTGCTTTGCATCTATACTACTTAAAACGAAACGAATCAGTGTGTTAATTCTTGTTTTCTGTGCTTCTTACAGTATTATGATCGTCATCTTTTATATTTTAACCATGATTTTAGTACAAAAAGTACTTTACATTGAAATTGGTTTGGTGATTTAGTATTATTATTAAAAAAGTAATTTATTATCATTATTTTTAGTTGATTTTTCTATTATTGTTATTAACTATATTATTGATTTTTCATGATGCAAATAATAATCATGTATAGTTCGTTTTTGATATTTATTTCAATTTTTTGATGTTACTAAATTTCAAATACTCTTATTCATGCTTGTTTTCTTTTTTTGTTTTCAGCAATTAATTTATTTCTTATAATTTTCTTCTTTATGCAAATCCAACTTACTTTTCACCCTTTTTCTATTAATAAAATTATGTGCAGAAAAGTAAATTTATTTTAAATTATTTCGTTCCAGTGTAGAGCATTTACAATTATGGGCAACGTTTTCAGTCCCTATTGATATTTCTAAAGCCAACAGTTTATTATTAATCGCCTTTTAATATACTGCAATTTTTTTATTTTAAAATTTTTATGACATCCAGGACATATATGGTTTGTATTCATTCGTACTCCTTAAATCTTTTTGTATGAAATCAGTGGTTGTACATCTACGATTTTCTTTATCCTGAGTTTACATGAATCATGTAAACTATTCCGTCATTCTTTATTACTAGAAATTTCAATTTTTTAAAACCTTTCGAAAATGCGAATTAGTCTCTTCATGGTTGCACTGTAGATTTGATTACGAATTTAAATACGTTTCGTCTTTTTTTTTATTCCTACTTTACACTGCATAACAATTTAAATAATTAGTTTTTTAGGTGAATAAATGATGCTACGATTTCAATTGTTTATACTATTTCGTGAGAAGACTTTTTCCATTGCTCGACGATTTTCTGTTAATGACTTTACTCTTCGTACGCATACATGCGGAGAATTACGTGTAGGACATGAAAGTGTGTTTATTTTTTTTTGTTCCTCGAAATCGGGATTTTCATTGTTTTAAGAACTTTATCAGAGCATACTGCGTATTTGTGTTTTAAAGCTTCATTTACGTCCTCAAACTTAAGATAGGTTTGAGGAGAATTTTTGCAAGCAATACATATCTGAGAAATTATTTTTCTTTTGTTTACTAATAATTGGTTTAGTTTATAAATAAAATGTTTTATTATAACTGAAATTGATCCTTTTATGGTTCATATTCGTTATCAACTTAAAAATTGGTCTCTATTGTTCAGGCCAAAAAGTTATTCTATATGGATGGTTGCAGTTCAATCGTCTGAATCGTTTTCTTGTTTTACGAGATGCCTATGGCTCTGTGCAGGCCAGAATTCCTGACAAAAGGCAAGATTTAGTCGAAAAAATCAAAATGATCAACTGCGAATCCGTTTTAAAAATTGAAGGAGTAGTTGTAGATAGAGGTGAACAACATCGCAATGCAAATATGCGAACAGGGGATATTGAGGTAGATTTTTATTTCTGAAAAACAGCTTTGCTGGAAATTATTTATAAGAGATTTAAAATTACGTTTTTTCTTCTGTTTAAGATTTTGGTTTTTGAGCAAATCCAGACGGAGAATGCAAAACAACTGCGCATGATTTTCTGCCTTCAGGATTTTAAAAATTTCCGTTAGAACTGAGGGTTTTTCCAGGTACTAGTGAATGATTTAGAACTACTGAGTAGTTCGTCAGCAAATTATCCGCTGGATGAGTTAACATCGACGGAAGAAACGAAACTGCGATATCGTTACCTGGATTTAAGAACAAAGCGGATGCAACGAGCACTTAGGTCTTTTCTGTACTTTTGTTCTTTAAAGAACTATGTCTAAAATGAATATGGTGATTTTATGTTTTTATGAATTGTTTTCAAGGCTAAGAGCAAATGTTGTTCATGGGATACGAAAGTATTTGATCGAAAAAGCGAATTTTACTGAGGTAATCTTTCCAATTCTTGGCATTTTCATCATATTTTTCACTTTTTTGCTCGGAAATTTCGCATAAAGAATTTTATATATGGACTTAGGTAAGGATTAATAAACTTTGAAATGCTTCAGTATATTTTTTGACATTCCAAAGCATATATGTTTTTCTTATACTTATAGCGATGATTGTGGGAAAATTTGCATTTATAGCAGTAGGTAGAATACTCTGCGAAAGTGTTATCTTTATAGAAGTTGAATTTCCATTTTTAAACTCTTGCTAAAAACTTGTTGAAAATGTTCGGTTGAGAAGGAAAACTTTTTGTTGAAATTAAGATTTTAAGATGTTTCAATTGATATAGGTTGAAACACCAACTCTGTTTCGCCGTACTCCCGGTGGTTCAAATGAGTTTATTGTTCCTGCACCGAAACCGAACCTCGGAAAGTTTTATTCTTTGCCTCAAAGCCCTCAACAATTCAAGCAGTTACTGATGTGTGGTGGTATTGATAGATACTTTCAGGTAAATAAAGTAAAGTAACTTGTAATTTATTTTCGGAATGATGAATACAGTGTGAAACCATTAGTTGAAAAATCTTATGTATAATAATCAATGTAATATATTATTGAATGTAAGAATTAGCTGATTTTGGGAAAATATACATCTACAATATTTAAATATTGGCTACCAGCAAAAGATTAGAGAAAAGTCAAGAATTGTTTTAACGGAAAACTTAATCAACTTGAAGTTTTTAGCTGCACTAATTAAGAATTTTTGAAGATTGCTCGGTGCTATCGTGATGAAGGTGCAAAATCAGATCGACAACCTGAATTCACACAAGTTGATGTCGAGTTATCTTTTACTGATCAAGATAATGTTATGAAACTGATAGAGAATATTATTGTGGAGTCATGGCCTAAAGAACTGGTATATTTTTAGAATTACCGCTCCCTAATTTCTGCAAATGATTAGGACGAACGAAATTTTAAAGTAAAGATAGGTACGCAACAGACATTATGACCAGATTTTCAGGAGGATTTGAAGCCTTCAGCACCATTCAAAAGGATGAAATATCTGAAAGCAGAACGTTTATTTGGTATTGATAAGCCAGATTTGCGTATTCCGTGGACTATTAATGATTGCACTTCTGATTTTTCATTTCTGCGGAAGCGTGAAAATTCAAATTTCGTTGTGAAAATTTTCATTGCCAATGATGCAGAAGATGTCGTCAATGAGAACAGTTTAAAGGAATGGACTCGAATTCTGAAAAACAATGTATTATCACAGGTTTGCAGTGTTTGACTTCATTGTTTTCCAATGCAGGCAACGTTGTAGTTTTAGGTAGATCGTGGTATTTATATATATGAAATTTCCAAGTTCGTTTTATTTTGCAATCCTTAGTTGCATCTTTATCTTTTTCCTAGTTTTAACATTTTAGTACAAAAATTTATATCGATGAAATCGTTGTTGTCATATGGTGAACTTTTTTACCAGTTTTTTTCTTCTGCCTTTTAGTTCTTTATAATGCATGTTCATTATTACTACTTAAAATAATAAAATTTTAGAATTTCAAATTTCTTAAAACGTCAAAAAAGAATTGGTTTGCAAAAATCCAAAATGACGTTCTGATAGAAAAATTTGATATCAAGGAAAAAGATGTTGCTGTCATATCGTGAGTTTCTTTTTATAAATTCTTATTCTTTAGGCTACTGTTATATAACGAAATTAAAATTAGTGAGTGATTAAAGGTCAGTATAGTTTATTTATTCCACAGCAGTGCTGTAGTTATCGGTGAATGGTTTTTTTGTAATTGACGGTATTTAATAAGGGAAACACTCCCAATGTAATAAAAATTGCAAAACTAGTAATATATTCTATTGCATTTATCTCATACTTCACTTCGTTGTGTGAGATAACTAACAGTATAATTAGGTTCTCTTGAAAGACATGAAATTAAATGGTTTTGTTTATGTGGGGACATGATGCCGGTGTCAAATGGACACTTGGTCAGCTGCGACACTTAGTCGGTGAAGCGATGCATTTACGAGCCGAACAGCGTATGGAATTTGTTTGGATAACACATTTTCCGTTGTTCACAGTTAATGCGGAAGGTCGTCTAGAAAGTGCTCATCATCCTTTTACTGCTCCTGTACCGGATGATATACCATTACTTTACGAGCCGAACAAACTTCTTTCGATTACCGGTTTCTTTTTATTTTGATAGCTTACTTTGTAAAAAGTGAGGTTAAATAGTGATTGAATGCAAATTTAATAAAACATTTCTTACCAACATATCGTACTGAAAGTGTGTATTTGCTACAAAAAGAATATTGAAATTATGTTCCGTTTTTTTTTCTAGATTTTGTATGGAAATGAATGTTGCAGGTCAGCATTATGATTTGGTATTAAATGGTGTTGAGTTGGGTGGTGGTTCAATCCGAATTCATAATGAGGACATTCAGCGACATATATTATCTACGATACTTGGCGAATCGTTAGAAGAACTTGTATGTTCTATAGAATATTGTTTTTTTTTTGTCTTTTAATCTAATACATTTGATATATTTCATTACATAATTGACCAAACATGAATAATTTATATATCAAACTTTATATTAATATTGTGAGTTTATCTCTATTCGTTTTCATCCAGTTCTACATGTCTGACTTCTAGCTTAATTCTTTTTTATAGCGCATTGATCGTGAATTTTAGTATTTATGTTCAGGAGCATATGCTAAAAGCATTATCTTATGGTGCTCCACCTCATGGTGGTTTTGCAATTGGTCTTGACCGATATATAGCTTTATTAGCTGGACGAGGAGACTCAAGTGTACCAATCCGAGACGTTATCGCTTTTCCGAAAAGCAAAGAAGGCAATGATCTTATGACTAGATGTCCTGTTGAAGCTACTTCATCACAATTAAGCAGGTATGAATACCATTAATAAAATACATCTCATTTTTGAGATATAACTTTGCAAAATTCAGTTTTTGAATGTTATGGAAACACACTCAACAGTTAGCAGCAATAGGATGTAGGAAATGATATGATACAAGCAACATTTTCGGTAATTTAGTTATTTATTCTGAGTATTTATATGGTTGCATATTCAGGTATGGTATCTCCGTGTCCGTGACGAATGATGTAAAGGTAGCAGGTGACGAAATTTTGAGAGAAAAAGATGGCAAAATTCAATCATCACACTAACGACTCATTGTTTTTATTAAATTATTGCTGTTGCCTATCTATGTAGATATGTAATAGAGATATATTTGTTTCAAAAATATCCAATTTTAAGTGGATTATGGATGAATAATTATTTGTAAAATGAATTAACGTGTAATTCTATTTTAGAATTGATGAAATAAATTTTTTAATTACAAGGTGTAAATATGAGCATCGAATGAACGAGCTTGCAAATTGATGAATGAATATCTCGGGCACAAATTAATTGAAAGAATTGCATAATTGGTGAGATCATGATTTTTTCCAGAAATTCAAATAATGCATAAATAATCATGCCAAATGTGCTAAAAGTTCCTATAGCAAAGCGTTAAAATGTTTTAATGATTATTCGGAATTAAATTTCATTCAATCTTAAATATTAGAATGATTTTGAATTTGATAAAATTTAAAGCTTGAAATAGATTTATTGCGTGCTTTATTCGTTTCTGTGTGAAACATACACTGAGGATCAGTTAACTTATATTAGGGAGTAAAATCGTGCGATTTTGACTGAATTATAAAATGTTAATATGGAAATATCTCTCAAACTGTTGAAATGCTTCGAAATAAAAACTGGATTTTTGGATAGAATGAATACGCTTATCATTATTTTGCTTTTGATTTAAACCAGTTCTAACTAATGAACGAGATATTTTCCATTTATTTTGGATGAATGGTGGTGATGGTGTGATTGTTATATGGACAGGCGAATGGATATGATTATGCTATTGGAAGATTGAAGATAGGATACATAAGCAATGAATTGTGATCTCATTCCTTTTGTATTGATAAATCATTAAAATTTCAAACTCCAATTTCTTGTTAATTTTCTTCAATTTGAAATTGAATTCTTGTTTTATTGATACTTCCATAGAGATAATTAATCTAATTAAATTCTGATCAAAAATTTTAAGTCCGTTTTTAAAAAGAAAAGGTGTAAATTTTTCTTCATAGATTCTACAGAAGTTTAATAGATAAATAAAGCTGTAATAATTTAAGTGTTAACATTGAGCTCTTTTTAAGTACCGTCTATCAATACAACCATACTATCAAAAGAAAGAAAGATACTCTAATCATTTAATATTTAGCCAATTTAATTAATAGCCTTGCTTATGTAATTTCAATAGAAAACTTGAAACTCAAATCTGATATCTGTTCTTGATCATACACTAGTAAATGCAATTTATAGTTGTAGTACTTTAGTTGATCATCATAAATTAACCATAGTCTATAAATTATTGATTTTATCTTCAATCACTATATATTTCTTTCACTATCACACTAAACGATTTCATTTCTTTGAAATTGAATATTTTGCTTGTACAATTTTTAAGTTATTTTTGAAAATTCTTTTTTTTTTTTTGTTCTTATCAGTGATCACTTTTTAATTAATATTTTGAGTTCAAAAAAAGAGAAAGAAAATTATAGAGCATTAATTATTTTCAATAATGTAAGAATGTGGAACAGAATTAAGTCATGCGAAATATTTCACTCTTTTCATTCCGTCATTGCAGTAAAAAATTCCTTGTGACTTGTTGTTCGTTTTATTTCACGTATGTTACTTTCAAATTAATCCCATTCACCCTCTCTTTCTCTCTTTCTCGCGTAACTTTCACTTTATTTTGATATGAATGAAATCCCTTTTTTCCGCTTAATCTTTAAATCACAAAAGTGAGAAAAAACGAATAAACAATTTGAAGCTTCAATTTTCATTGTTTCCATGATGTTTATTTTAAATTGTTATCGTTGTTTAATGAAACTGTAAAAATTAATCAGAAGATAAATGATCAGAATAAAACAAATAATGAAGAAAAATTGTTGATTTAAATTGAATTTGCATCTCAATTTAAATTAATGATTTTTTGTTGATTGGATATTTACATTTGCCATTTTATGAGCAAGGAGTTTGACTTAAGCAACTTGATCTTTGAAATTTTATATTGATTTCAAAACGTTGTTAATGTCATTAGTGCAATTAAAAAAAAAAAAAATGTTTTAAATTGAGATTATTCTCCATTCGAGAACAGATTATCCTACAGGAATCGTTTGATTTTACGAATTTTGTTTAGATGATATTAATAATATTATGGTTAGCTCTTATTGAGCTTTTATTGCAATATCCACAAAATGCTATAAGTGAAAAATTAAGCACATTTCCAATAACATCCATACCCAAGTAATTTTTTTTCCATACTGAACTTTTTTATTTTTTTTTTTACAAAATTTTCTGTTTTTAATCGAAATATTTTCATTCTTAATTCCGTTTGATCTTGAATTCAATGTTTGAGAGAATTTCATCAATTTGAACAATGCCGCTTATAAAAAGTATTATCTAAACAAAAAAAAAAAATTATTAAATTATTAGATTCTTAGGAAACTGTAAGATGAAATTTGAAATATGTACAAGAAATTTCTAGCTTACAACATGCGGACGAGAAGGATACGTGCTGTGGAAGATGCGCAATGCAATTGATGAATGATTTGATTGAAAGGATTGGAAAAAGTGAAACAGCAAATTTAATTAATCTTAATTACAATAATTTTTTATTTGCAATGTCAAATGCTACCATTCTTCATCATTTCTGCAAGTTTGTTTCTTTTCTTATATTTTTAATAATTTTTGATGATTAGTTATTGGATTGAAATATAATTTTCCTTTTCTATTATTTTTGTTGTTTGATTTGTTTTTCGTTTTCAAATCTAATTTTATGCTCTAAATTCTAGAAAATCAGATTTTGAATTCAAATTTTGAAATTCAAGACATTTCGATTTTTCATTTGTTCTGCAAATTCAACTTTTCTTTTTGTTTGAAAAAGAGGAGACTAATATGCTTGCTGTTAACAAAGAATGATTCATTTCAGTTATCAGTTCACATTTTCGGTTTTGCAGTTTTCATGTCTCTAAAAAATTTGAAACATTTTTTGCATTGGCATAGTGACAGACAATGACTGAGCAATAGTTAGGATTATTTTAGTAAATAAGATAATTATTAAAATAATTAAGCAAAAAAGTTATTATTTAAAAGAGTGAAGGAAAATTTTATCGAAGGCGGAACGATGAATAGAAGTGCGTTGTATGGTATTTTATATTGATTGTCAACGTTTTATTTATTTTATGATATCTTCATTCTTAATTTTTTTTTTTTGAATTTAGTATTTTAGAGAATTTCATCAATTTGAACAGTGCTGTTCAACGTGTGTTCCCAGTTATTCACGAGAAATTTTGATGAGATATTCGCAAATTATCGACCATATATGTGTTTACAATTTTAAAGGTATAAATTTTAAGAGTATATATATAGCATGATATAACAGCAATTGAATTTAAAATATTTCCTTTTTTTTTTAAATTTTGACACTCTTAATTTATTTCTCTTTACATCTTTAATGAAAGGTTTACAGCTGACTATTTTTTTCAAATTTAATATATTCAGCTATTTCATACAATTTATTGCTGGAAATTGAAATTTTCGTCTTTTTTTAACACTGTTCAAAATTATTGCTATTTTAAAAATAAATTTTGAAAGATTATTATTCTTTAAAAAAATGTAGTAAACAGTTTTGTGAATAATTATATAATGTTGGATTTCCATGTTTAATTAAGCAATTGTATATTTGTAAAAACTTTACTGCAAATCAATTTTTAAATAATCATTTCTCAAAGTTAGATATCGAAGAAAATTTTGGCTGTCTGGCACGATTGGATTCACAAATAAGAAAGCTTTGCATGCATACTTGCACGCCGTATCAGGAAGCATTTCATTCCATAGCTCGAAATTTTCGACATTTCATCCTTAACAGTGACGTAACGATTCTCGAAAATTATCTAAATGAATCATGCGAGTAAATTATTTAATGATTACTTAAAATATAAAATTTACAAATGCAAGATTTTTAATTAAATATGAGATATAGGTGATGGAGAAGGTTTGGCATTTTGGATAAATCTGCGCAGGGCAAATAGTTTGATCTGTGAACTATGCTATCAAAAGAAACATATCGCACTGAATATTGTGACAAATTTTAATTTCATAATATTCAATTTAACAAACTTAGCTATTTGAGCTATGATTCATTTATTTTAGATATGTTCTTTGTTCATTGCACTGTGATGTTCCTTTGATTGCGCATAATTGCGGTTACGAAATCGTTGAAAAAGTAATTGCATTAACAAGGAAATCATTCAAATTAATGGAAAAGATGTCACTTGACACAGCTGTTATTAGCAGGTTTTTTTTTTTTAATTTGTCGCTAATAGTAAGATGAATCTGAATAAAAATTTAAGTCTGTAAAGATTGATGATCAAAGCTAATTGGTGATAGATAAAATATATGCGATTTTTTAGAGCTATCAAAATATCAACAATGATTATTACTTTTGAAAATAGTGGTGAAAATTTAGAAATGAAATTTAAAATCTGAACTAATTTTGTGAAACGAAATGATTTTAAAAAATATATCATTTCTAATAAATCTAATTTATCGATTAATGAAAACTTTTTTTGCTATTTATCAATAGAATTAAAAAGTATGCTTGCGAAATTTATGAATGGAGGGAAGTATTAGAAATAATAATTTCAGATGGCCTAAAGCGTGCGCTGAAATAATTACTTATGGGATACCTGAGCGAAATTTAACAGTTGCAGAACAGCCTAATTCGAGTAGCATAATTCAGCCACAACAGATGAAGCAAATTGAAACAAATGGTCAAAGTCACGGAAGTCAAAAATTCATCAAATTGTTATCATTGTTATTACTATTCATCTATTTTATATTGTAATAAAATTATTAAATAATGAAAATCACGCAAAATCGAGTGATTTTGTCATTGATTTGCGAAATTTAAATTTTTGAAAAGCAGTTAGTTAGTTTTCATGTGCTAATCAATTAATCAATTAGTTGACATTCCATCGATAAAGCCAATAACTTGCTATAACCAGTTCAACAATAAACCCGTTAGAATTGGATGAAATATTAACGGAAAGATAATTTTCGTTGATATTTCATCCAGTTCTAACTGGTTTAAATTTTTAGCTTTCTGTAAAAATATTATTGAGGATTGGAAATCAGTAGAATAAAAAAGTGATTTATCATTTTTTATTAAATTTTCAAAACTGTCCGCATATCACAATAAGTTATTTGTTGTTTGTTAAAAATAATTATTTTCAACTTATTCAATTAAATGTTTTTAATATTTTAAAAATTA